TCTTTTTGCTGCCTATGATGCAACTTTCACTAAATATTACATATAATTTCATTGTGCGTGCAAGATGCACCTATTAGCATCACAGGCAATCCCCATCACGAGTTATATGACAGAATTAATGCTTGCTACTTGTTACCATGGGAATCTTTTCTCCATTACCTCCTTCCATCCCACACAAAGGGAAATGTGGCATCAGCCTTTTTACAGTCGGTCCTTACACACAAAGAGCAGCAATTTAGTTTCACATTAGGGCTGTCATTTGAAAAAGCTGTGTCTCCGGATCAATTGTATTTGCAGTCATTGATCAGGTAAGCATTGACCTCTGTGTGCATATGAGATGAAGACCTAAGAATAGCCAGCTATTGAACCAAAGAGGTCTCCGATATTGCATGTGTTTCAGATTGGTGTGTTTGAGGCTAGCTCAAATCAGCTGTCAGAACATAAAATCACAGCCTGACCGCCTTCCCCGAAGGTTAGACAGAAAGGCGGGAGGGGGAATCTGGCACTATGCGGGCTGATAAAGAGACAATATGCTTATCCATTCAGAAGAAATCGATAGACAGAGGAAGGGGGAGAGATGGAGAGATACCCTTGTCGAGTCAATGTTGCGTTCGCGCCCTGAGTCTTTGGGGCAATTTGCCAGTTTTGGTGAATTTTGCTTCAGCCATCTCTGTCCACGAATGATGCTAACAGTGATAAAGTTCCTTCATGTCTTCAAGAACAGAAGAGTGACTGCAGGGTGCATCCTGTTGATGAGGAGGGTCATTTACAGAACAGACTTCATGTTCCCAATTTAGCTGAGCAGGAGCTGGAGATCATCAGCCCATCTGCCGATGGTCACTGCAGAACATTCGTTACTTCAGCAGCTCTATGCAGCATCTCTCTGATTTGCTCCTGTATAAAGCCTATGTAGTTTACATCAGCAGGGTAAGGGTGTGTTTCAAATCCATCCCCGGTTTAGCAGAAAGAGTGAATCACTGAGTGAATTGAATTTTAGAAAAACGCTGATAATTCACTGTCGACCTGCATCGAGACTTCAAGGTGCTGCACTGTAACGACGCTCTATCAATATGCCCCTAAAGCCAGGAAGACTAAAGTTTTGAGGACTTTTTTTTGAGGTGTCACCGTGACAAAACCGACATCAGGACATCCTGCGGCTGGCTAACAGGACAGCGATCCACTCATTGAACCAAAAAGCAGTCTGACACCAAGCACAAATCTCTATCCCTCTCGCTCCTTCGCTGCTTTTCTGAGTCTCTCCTCTTTCTTGTTCTGTACTTACATTTTGGCAGTCACAGGAGAGTTTTAATTTGCAGCCCATTTCTCTCTTTAATGGCAGTGAGTGTGTGGGTGGGTGTATGCGTATGCCTGTACAGTAACAGAGAGAAGAAAAAGATGAGTCAATGATGCCAGCATACTAGTCTCAGGGCCCTTCTAAAGTCCTCCATGTTTTTAATCACCAGCAACTCTAACATCTAATTAATCATTAACATTTCTCCTGCTGATCCTTAACCCTCTGGGGCCACCTTGAAGAACATCTCTCTCACACATAATCTTTGTGTCTGTGTGTGCACATATAGTACGTGTCTATTTCAATTGTGAGGCAGGTGGCCAGGGCAGTAGTTAGGATAGCAATTATTGTAAGTGAGGGTGTTCACAGACTAAAAAAACCCACCTCCTGCTCTCTGTGTGTGCTGACCAATGTAACTTTTACACGAGTGCATGTGAGGATTGTTTTCCCAGTCTTCATTTACTGTACTATATTCATCTTGTACACGATGCGGATAAGCATAGCTTGTTTGCCTTAAATTGTCCGATTAGCTCTGATATTCTTTTCCAGACGAGTGATGTCAGCGTCGCCTTATGTCAAACACAACAGCCAGTTTTCCAGGCATCATTAAAAAAAAGATTCAGTCTGGGGTCTAATTAGATTTTTTCATCCAATGTGTGAAAAAAGGGACTGTGCAGGAGAGAGGAATGGGATATTCCTCAAACTACTGTACTGAACAAACATGCAAAAAAAGAACGAACTTTACAGGACATAATAAAACATCGAGATCTCATCAGGACTTAGAGACTTAGGCAAATACAACCTCAGCTGAACAAAAACACATGACATATTACACCGTGTCATTAATTGCTGAACAAAAATGCAGAAGAAGTATGCAGCATGGTTCAAGTTTTAAAATCCTTCTCTGTATGACGTTCTCAGTCTCTCACATTGTTGTGGAGAACTTATTTGCAGGCATTTGTTCATGCACAGCTCTCTTAAAGTCCCGCCACAGCATTTCAATCAGGCTGGGACCTAGTGCAGGTCTCACTAGGTGAGACCTGCGCCACTGGCACACCTTGATTCTTTTTTCTGGTGCAGATTTGCTTTTGTTTTGGGGATCACTGCCCTGTTGCATTACTCAATTTTGGCTGAGCTTTAGCTGTTAGAATGATGGCCTCACATTTGACTCTAGAATACTTTGTATACAGAGGAATACACAGTCAGCGACTGGAAAACAAACCCTAATCATTCCCCCTTTGAGCTAATTATTATGGCCAAACATCTCCATGTTGCTCTTGTCTGTCTGAAGCACATTGTTCCAGTCTTTAGAGAGGAGATGCTTTCTCCCGCCAACAACTTCAAACAACCCATACTTGTTCAGTCTTTTCAAATTTCACTGCCATGGACATTGAACATTTAACATGCTAACTGAGGTCTGTAAAGTCTGAGATGTGGCTCTTGGGTTTGTGCAGAGCATTGCATGCCCTGACCATGGTGTGAATTTGCTGGAACATCCACACCCGAACAGATCGGCAACTGTCTTGAATGTTTTCCACTTATGAATAATCATTCTCACTTTATAATGATGGACTTTGGCTGGTTTGACTTTGGTTTTGGAAAAGCTCTAAGAACCCTTTGCAGATGGTCAGCAACAATCACTTCTCTAAGATCATTGCTAATGTGTTTCCTTCTTGGCATCCTTCTCCAGACCAGCAAACTGCCCAAACTGCTGCTTTTATAGAGGTGCTCACACTTGCTGATGGTAGATTAATCAAGTGCATTTGATTAGCAGCACCTGTCTGTTACTTACCCTCTAAGTGTGGACTTAGTTTTTCACTCTGCTATTACATCTAGTCTTTGTTAACTAAATGGATGACTAAATGTAATATCCCATATTTTGTTGTTAATCTGATGTTGTATTTATTTTATTTTAGGTACAGCTAATGACTGCAAGGTTTTATTATGCCCTGATATGTAAAACCTTAGATTTTAAAGAGGCTGTACTTTCCTTTTTGACTGTTGCAGCATTACATTTGAACATGCTAAGCGGTCAACTTTTAAACTGATCCTGTGCTAGACAAGAGTGATTACAATAATTAATTTAGCCTCTTGTGAACCTAGCCTTCAGCGAATGCACTGAGAGTTGTTTTAACGATGGCATGTGTCCTGAGCAAACACACATTTGGCTGTTACTAAGCAGATGTCGCCTTGCTGTGCAGCCGTGTGGTGTTTTACAGGGACTCCCCTGGCTTTAAAGTGGACGGTGGTGTGACAGGTCTGTTAGTTAAGAGATGGCCAAGAAATTTGCCCCATCATCTGAGTGTTTATGGATGAGGCGGTGTATCTCTTCCACCTTTAACTTCCATTTCCATCCTCATAGTGTTCTCTCTGCTTCCTCTCACTTCACATTCCTTTTCCTTTCCCGTCTCTGCTCATCCTCTTTTTTTCTACCTCCTCCATCCTCATCTGCACTTTCTCATTCTCCTTTTCTCCGATCCTTTGTGTTCACTTCCTCTGCTTTCCCCTCTCCTCCTGTGCTCAGTGCATACAGACAGGCGTGGACTTCACTGCCAGCAGTGATTTATTCTGCTTAGGCAAATGAGTGTGGCTTACAGCATGCTGCTCCTTTTCTGCTTCATCAGTACACATTGCAAATAACACTGGAGCAGGTTGGAGCCCGTAGGCACACACACACACATCCTGAAATGGATCTAAGAGAAATGCTGGAGGGGTTCTTCTGCAATACAATGGGGTGATGTGATTCATTCCTGCGTTCTGGATGTAGTGGAATGTGTAACTGAGCATGAGACTATGCAATTCATGCCCTCATGTAATTACTATTTTCGCAGTGGCATCCCAAGCAGGGGTCACACGCAGAAAAATTACCTCTTATGGTCACTTACTCACTAGAGCTGGAAGTACGACCGAAATCAAAATATTTTTCGCACATTTGCACAGCATAACATGACTCACATTACTTTAATTAACAGTTTCTTACTAATTTGAGCTGCATGAGAACATTTTTCACTTGTACTAAAAAATTATCTTATAAAGTCCTGTAGTTGGAATTTTTGTTGAATTTGCTGAATTTAAAAAAAGTTATGACACATGTCATCGTGTTTGGGAACAGCTGTAGAAAAAGATTCTTCTTTCAAGACTTTATTTTGATTAATTGATTCAGATTTCTGTGACTCTTTCACAAGTTCAAAAGGGTTTTGGGTATCTGCACAACATTTTTTTATGAACGTAAAGAAGCGCAAAATGCAAATTAATAAATGCTCTCTTCGGTCACATCGATGCTGTCATTGCACTGGTGTGCCAATCACAGGAAAACATGACAACACCAGCTTAAATGGCATGAAGCTTCCTCTGGAAATTACATTATTATCTGAACGGTGCAGACTGACTGCACAGCACCTCATAACTGCAACCACAGGACTTTTATTTGATTTGTCCACTGGTGACTGAAATAAATAATGAAAAACATCGAGCTATGCTGTTTCAGTATTCCTGAATCTGGTCACACTGTCGAGTGAAATGTGACACAAAAATGTTTTTAGAATAAAGCACGAACGGTTGCTATTTTCCCTAAAAATAGAGAAGGCAATGACGAGGCAATGGGGAAATTCTGTAAACTTCCACATAAACAAGAGAGTATCAATTTATAATGGGTTCATGTGCCTCGGTGTTAAAGTGAAAGGGAGAGGAGGTGCTGCCCCATGGATACCTGTGACCTGGTCGACAAGGATACGGGAGGTGATGATGCGTCCGTACTGGGAGAAGAGCTGCTCCAGCTCCTTCTGGGTCATGGTCTTGGGCAGGCCGCTCACATAGAGGTTAGCGTCACGGATGGAGGCTGAGCTGGGTCGCGCATATGACACCTTTGGGGAAAAGAACACAGTGTAAGGGCTTTTATAAATAAATTAGAGCTTTGCTGCTTTATTACGCATAAAAATCATAAACAAGATTATAGCGTTAGAGGTGCGAGGCTTTTATGTGCGTGTGTTGTGGATGGGCAAGGATGCGGATCACTGGATCCACAGGGAGGAAAATGTGACTGCGTTTTCTGAGTACACCTTGCCTTAGGGATTATCATTGTTAGGAAAAGATTTAGCTGCTTAGAACACTGGAGAGATAACACATCATGCCTCCCCCAGTCTTTGCAGAAGGAGATGGAAACTTTGCTCCCCAGAGTAGAAACCACAGGTGTTTTACTTTGAAAAGGCAGCTCAGGCAACCAGGAGAAGAGGATTCTGACTTTGTCCAATACAAGACAAAACCACGCTGCTGATGCTGTTCTGGGTGAAAATATGAATGAATAAAAAAGGCTAGAGCCAACATGTTTTGGTGGCAGGCATCAGTTTTCATTAGACTTTTTAGTGAATGCAATAGCATTCCCTAAAGATGCTATTTGTAAATGTTATATCTAATTCCTGGAATTGAATAACTGTGCTGCGCAGCTCACGCCACAAGTTCTCCACCAGTGAACTTCAACACCATCTTCATTTGTCGACCCGCAGCGGTGAAAGTTGTGTAAATCCCATTACTACCGCTGCTGACTGGAGCAGCTTTCCCTTGCAGTACTTTCATTACCTCTGACATGTGGAGACATAAGTCATCAAATAAGGTTAAAGTCAGGCAAATATTGTGGATATATGCAGTCATATCCTTGAGCAACAGCACGGAAATCCTTCTGAACTCTTACAGTGAGAGAATAATATTGGGAACAGCTGGCTTTCCCCGTGTCTCACTTCTTAAAAACCTGCCGCACATCTTCGTCTTTAGCCTCTCCTCTGTCTTCCTCTCTCCGTCTGCATCTCTCTCCTTTCCGCTGCTTGAATATTTTCAGTCTGCTTCCTTCCTCTTTCTCTCTCTTCCAGATTCTGCCTCTTTTTTTCTGCTCCTCTTTTTCTCCTCTGTACAGCTCTCCCTCATTTTCTCTCCTTGTCAGCCAACTCCAGATGTCTTATCCATCAACACCTCCTCAAGCTGTAAGCGGTATTGTGTACAAGTGTGGTGCGCTGCGTGTCTGATGCAGAAGTGGGTACGCGTGTGCAAGAAAGTTAGAAAAACTGTAAGTGTGAAGATTAAAGTGAGTATAAATGTGTCTCAGATTATGTGCATGCATGTCACTGTCAGCTCCTTTCACCTTTGGCTTTCTGCTTCCCCTCACACCTCGCTAGGAAAGCTGTGTCGCAGCCATTGCTGACAAATCTGAGGTGTCATGGTGAAGGAAACAGCGGCAGCGAAACCAACTCGAAGACGCTTCGCAGAGACATGTCACCCGAGACCATGTGAATCTCTGGGCCAAGCGTTTCCTTAGTAGTGTAGTGGCAGAGAGTGGGAAGGGTGTGACATGAAAGAGCGACAAACTTAATTTTAGAATTACCGCGCTGCCTTTTAATTTACCTTGTTACCTTTAGGGTTTTTCAGTCTGTTGTGGAGAGAGAAAGCAGGGAAAGAGAGTAGTGGGAGGGAGGAAATGAAGTGTGAAAAAGAGATAGCGCTAGACAGAGATGCAGGGTTGTCTTCTGTCATTATGAAGGCCGCCTTTATCTCACGAACCACTTGAGGCAACCTCTTGTGTCGTGAGAGTGTGAGAGTGAAAATCTGTGAACTCAAACTGCTATAATAAAAGACTTCACAAAATGCACACTGTGTAAACAAAATTCAACTTCTACCCATTTTTTAAAATTGGGAAAAAGCTTGTTTTTACTTAAAAGCACGACGCACTGTGTGAGATTCAAAAAGCATCTCTGATGAACAAACAGGCACGTTAGTCAGATTCAAATACACGACTGTGGTTCATGAGTCTACCTGGCAAACTGTCTGTTGCAGTATTAATAATCAAAATCATATTATATATTTTCAGCTTTCCTCGATGTTCTATTGTATAACTGCATTTCTCAATTTGGAAAAAAAAGCCTCTATCTATGAGAATATTATGAATGTTGTGAAAACACAATATTCAGCTTGCAGTATTTTTAATACTAGCAAACTGTAACTTGATTCATCAGTTCGTCTTGTAAATCGTAGACACAAGATGGTATATGCATGCATTTTTTAAAAGGCATGCAAATTCCTTTTAAAAATCTTTAAAAGTCTTTAAAGATCCTCTTACTTAACAAATGATTTGAATATTTATTACTACTTTTACAAAACAGCGCTGGAGGAACCTTAAAAAGAGCTAATACGCAACAAAGCTAGGGAGGAAAAAAGTGAAAGAAATAAGGGATTTACAATAAAGTAACAACTGTTTGGACTAGCTGATAGCGAAAGCCACTTTGAAGGGCGGTGCTCCTCTGATGGGGATTTGTGCAGTCGCACACACAAGCTTGCACTCTGGTTTTTAGGTAGTCATGTCTCTCAGAGAGCCCTGCTACGAGCGCAGCTCATGTGGAACACACGCAAAAATACAGACGTGGACACATCAACCCGTAAACATTAGGGGTGCAACGATATTCGTATCGATATTGAACCGTTCGATACAGTGCTTTCGGTTCGGTACGCATATGTATCGAACAATACAACATTTGTAATTTATTTTATCAACTTTCCTTCTGACGATGCTGTCTGTGTTGAGCGCTCAGTGAATCTGCGTTCGACTACTCCGCCTAGGCTGCACTGTCGAGCGCAAATCCACTGAGCGTTCAACACAGACAGCATCATCAGAAGGAAGAGCGCGGGGCAAGCTAGCAAGACAGAAGTTAAGCTCTCCTTGCAACATGGACCTCCCCCACCCTCATTCAGATCTGGCGTTTGGAATTATTTTGGTTTTCATGTGACGTATGACTCTGAAGGTAAGCGAGTCATGGACTAAAGTAAAACAGTATGTTGGATGTGCCATGCAATGCTCAATTACATGGGTGGGAACTAGTGTGTTAGCGCAGTTAGCTCGTTAACGTGTTGGCCGTCTAGCCCCATGCACGGGGCGATCGGCGGTAGCTCGTTAACGGAGATTTATCGTGTTGTGGTGTTAAGGTCATTTCAACGAGATTAACCTGAAAGCACTAGTGGGAACACAACGAATATGACTGCACATTTACGCCGACATCATCCTAGTGCAAAGACAAAAACAACAAGCATGCTACTAACTTTAGCCGAGTCATTTAGACAGCTGTTAGCACATGATTCTCCTTATGCTGCTGAGAATATAGCCCAGAAGAAGCGGATAGTATAGCTTTTATTTTGGTAAGAGACATTTCTCTGTAATAAACTCTCTTTTCCAAAGATGAGTGATTCCTCAATCAGATACAGCGCTCGCAAAATCGCTAGCCCGACGTCCTGGGGCTAGCGATTTTTTTCAGACGGGCTACCAAAATCTATCTCTGCCCTGCCTGTCGGGCTATTGTAGGAAGGAAAAATATATGTCAATGCTTTTGCATTCTTTCAGAAATGTAGCTGGGTAATTATGTCATTGGTGAGCCACTGTCAATATGTGACATATTGAAATCGCGTTTGAATTTGCGCTTGTTTTTTGCTTTCACTTTGCAATCGTGCGAACTGTGTATAGAGAGCGACAGCACTGATCTGTGAGTGATGATAATTTGTGCACCAATTCCTCTGACATCGTCTTATTAATCGTTAGCTTACTATGCAAACATGACAAGTGAAATCTCCCGCAGCTTAAACATGTGAGAGGTTGATCGCGCAGAGAATCGCTGAGCTTATGTGAGTGCGTGTGTAAAAGCAGCAGGATATATATATTTTACTTCTGCTGAGCCAAATAAGACAGGTCAGGGTGAAGAAGTGACAGCCAAAGAAAAGCTTACCACAAAACTGAGAAGTTATGACAAATCAGACTATAAGGCAAAAAGAAAGTGTAGCTTTATGGTTTCATGGACAAAATAATTTCTGTGGCTGCAATATGACGAGCTAAATAACCAGGGCTGCACATAAGTGGTCCGCAGGTGCGCATTCGCTGTCAAAATAAAAAACACGCACAAGGGTTAGGGTTAAATTTAAAAACTGTACTTTTGAGTTAAAATATATATTTATAATTTTAATAAATGACAAATTAAAAAGCCATGAACATTTTTTTGTATCGAAAAAATATCGAACCGTGACACCAAAGTATCGAACCGTGAATTTTGTGTATCGTTGCACCCCTAGTAAACATCTCATCTTTACATATATATTCACTAATACAACACATTTACTCTATAAAATCCACATTTTAGACATCACGCACAAAATATATATGAGGCTCTTATTTTTTAAATTCGATACCAAGCCAGACAGTTTATGCTGTCCAGGGAATGGAGGGATTCCCCGTGGGATTCCCTATTTGCAAACAGGCTAATCCCATCCTATTAGATTAGATTAGACTAGATTAGATCGGATGACAGAAAGAAAGAATCCAGGGATTACCACAGAGCAACAGATTACGGCCCAGCTTAAAACAACATATCAGCAGGCACAGAGCACAGAGGATGACAGCAGAGAATACGAGGGGAGAAAATTAGATTAACAGGAGGATTGATACACTGTAAAACATCTGCTCAAACTATTACTTGTGAGGGTTCTTTAAAATGTGTTTGGAGGAAGGACAGCGCAGTACTGAGGCTGATATTACTGCTGTGACAACCACCATCGAGCCTGCAGATTAGTCTTGCCATTTAGAATGCAATAACAGAGCCCTCAATTATTTTGGACAATATGATGATTGATGTGTTTCTTCCCTTTTATTCAGAGATAACTATAATTTCACCTTTACATTCTGACATTTAAAGAGCAATTAGCATATCAACCATAGTCACAAGCTTTTTTTTAATGTGTCTCTTTGATTTAGATGGTCTTTTTCATTTCTGACGCTCATTGATGTTAATCCCATCTCACCCTCCAGCACATCCGCTAACAGCATCACTATCTAAAAGGGCTCTCAGAAATTAGAAGGAAGTCTTATAATTTAAGTTTAACACGACCTCCACAACTTTAAATTACTGAAATCTTTTTGTCCAAAGAACACTTTTCTTACTTTAATTGCTTGTCTGGTCGTTATGTAACAGACAGACATAGGCATGCACGGTGTGATTTACCTTGATTGTTTTGGTCTGAAGTCTGAGTCCATTTAACGTGTTGATGGCTTTCTCTGCATCCTTTGGATCAATGTAGTTGACAAAACCGTAGCCCAGACTCTGTCCTGAAATGCCAAAAAGAAAGGAAGCATTTTAAAATGTGTTCACAATCCAGGTGTTTATGTTTCAGGTAAGGCCTTGCCTTTTCAGCAAGACAATGCCAAACTGCAGGATGGTCATACTAATGATATGAGTTCAGGTGCTATACAGTTTTATATATAAGGCAATACTTGGATTGCTGCCTTCCTATATATGTTCCCTGCTTGCAGTGAAACATGCTGGTCATTATCCTCTTCGACCGCAAGGTTACTTGTTATTTTCTGTTCCATTTGCCTGAACTGAATTTGGCAAAAGAGCTTTCGTCCATTTAGCCCCGTCGGCTTGGAACGAACTGCAGAACGACTGGAAAACGACTTCATTTCATTAAGTGCTTTGAAAATTAAACTAAGAATCCTTGAGGCCAAGTCCATAACATGCAACTGTTTCAATTAGATTGTTTGTCATTTTAACAGAATTTTATTTTGTATTTTTCATTTATTTTTACATGTGTGTTGCTGCTGCCTGTATTTAATTGAGTAATTTTTGTAACTGCGAGGCACTTGCTGCTGCCTATCTTGGCCAGGTCTCCCTTGAAAAAGAGGTTTTTAATCTCAATGGGATCTTCCTGGTTAAATAAAGGTTAAATACAAAAATTAAATAACAAAATAAACAAGCCTCAGCATCTGAGAAAGGTAGAAGTGATGTCAACACAGTTGCCCAAACTGACAAATTAATTAAAAGGGGTTAAATGACCTGTAACTGTTTAATTTTTAAAATTTAGGGGTTTTTTTTGTTTGTTTGTTTGGTTTTTTTTAGAAACAAAGTTGTTTTAAAAATTAACTTTATTTTGATTGTGCATTAAAAAAACAGCCTTACCACAACACCCAATTATTGTGGTGCTTTTCTTTGGAACAAGCCGCCTGCTAACCTGAGACAACATGCATGTGTGCCTGGAAAATCCTTCACAACATACATGTGACGTCGTTACTGCCGACAAGATCAAAGCGACTCCTGCCTGGAGCACCGCGAGTTTTGATGTGACTTTTTTTGTCATGTGAAGGCTGCTTTGTTGCCACGGCTGTTCAGATTTGTGCTCTAAAACATTTAATGAGTGAGACATTGTCTTTCCAGGTCTCTCTATATGAAAATAAAGGCATAATAAACACACTCAATACCCCCCAAAAACTGCTAGTTAATTATGGTGTAATAATGCACATAAACAAACAAGAAAGAACCTATGTGTTACTTCATGCCTGAACAGCCTTACTTGGTGTGTTACGCTCTTATTGTTGCACTTCTCATTATTATTTTTTATTGTACTTGTGTTCTTGAGCTCGAGGGAATTTAAGGCGCCGGAGCATCCAGGTGAAGTTACTCAAAATATATGTGTCAACTAGTGAATGCCTAAAATATAATGCGATAAATGTTACTCAAATTCTGTCTGAATTATGACAGCGAAACTCAGCCTAAGCAAATAAAGTATCATAGAAGGTACAAACAACATATTTGTTACTGTCTTTTCAGCTGTGCAAAACGAGAGGAAAAATACCACCCCCACTTCCCTCCAAGCTCAAAGTGTCTTAGACAGCAGACTCCCTTTGAGAGTGAAGCGGGCCTGACATCTCCCAGTGTTTCCCCAACAGATCAAGCCTTTCAACGCGCTTAGACTTTAAGCGGACGCCTCTAGCCGTCGGGGCGTTCAGTCGGCTAGTTTTCCACAAACAGCCCCCATCCACTAACGCCACACACAAGCACAAAGAATCCCAGGCAGTTTAAGAAGAGCGGCATGCACATATTCATGCTAATGGGAACAGACAGCGGTTAGTCAGAGACAAAGTGAATCACAAAATATGGAGCATGGCTGTTTCACAAAATAAATACATTTGGGCTATGGATATCACGGCGCAGAACAGCTCAGAAGCAAGCAGTGTAAGGGCCAGGAGGGACTTGTAGTCCTAACATCAAACAGCTGATGATTTTCTCTTCTTCTCCCCTCTCCTCCCTCTTCTCCTCTGGATTAACTGTGGATTATCAGACACTCTATTGTTAATTAAAAACCTGCCATCCTGGGGAGACTACTGCTATTTATAACTAACCATCCTCTTCTCGCTCTCTTCTTCCTCTCTGACTCTCAGCTGACATCAGGTGGCAAGTTAAGAAAATTAAGCATAGCTGGGAAATTATTTCTGGGGCTTCTAATGTTTTATTAAATAGTGTACACAAGAGACTATGAATAATGAAGTGAAAGAGAACATTTGGCAAAAGTAATTAACTGAATGAATTAAAATAAAGCATAGCAAAATTGCCCATAAACTGTATTCTAAATAACCCAGTAGTGTCTCTAATAACGACTGCTCATATGTGCATCAATTGAATTTACAGTGAAATTCCAGGTGGGTACAGTTAAGCGCCTGCTACGGAGATCACTCTTCTTTGGTGTTTGCTACCTCTCTCGCTCACTTTCCCAGCACCTTCCTCACCCCTCTTCTTCATCTTCAACAAGAAATGTTGAGGTTCGACAAGCACAGCCACCAGAAGGTTCTGGCAAAGAGCACTTGTGCAGCGCCATTGAGATGGGCCGGCTGTTTGAGTCATCCAGTCAGACAAATGGGGCCAAACTGGCAAGCATGGATGCTACTGCTGCGAGGGGGGGGGGGTAGTCACAGTGTGGGAGGTGCGCATGCATGCGTGTGTGCACAAGTTGGTATGGAAATATGGGTAAGCACACATGTGAGTGAGTAATAGATGACACTTTTACAACAAACCCACCACTATATTTACTTTGATTACACCTCTGAAGACTGTGGTTTTCAGCAGCTGCTACTATATGTAAATGATATTTGCGTGTGTTTGCATTTTAATTGGGTGTGTATGTTGTATACGAGCTCAGGCTGGTGTTGGCATATCCTCCCGCCCCCACTTGCGTCTTCACTCCTTCTTTGGCAAGGTTAAGGGCCTCTGGGGCCGGAAGGAAGAGGGTGGGAACGAGGCTTACTGGCTGGCATCTTTCCCCAGGTGAACAAGGAAAGGAGGGTAAACAGAGGGAGACATCTGCCTGCAGCATCAGAAAATCTCCAGGAGGGGATTCCACCCACCGTTTCCAGCTTGCTAAGGAGCAGCTAACAGCAGGGAGCTGCCGGCAAACTGCCTGGCTGCCTGGAATTTGCACGGATTGGCAGAAGATGCACCACACTGGCAGATGTACATACATGTGCACACATCTAAACGTATAATCGCTCAATCACCACAAACAAACGCAGGTAGTAAAGTACGACTTCATGCCAGGACAGTAATACGTGGAGTGGTGGGTGGCTAGCGAGTAAGCACGCCATTGTTGTTGCATTTTCTTAGTTTTTCAAGTAATGTTAGCAATGAAAAAATCTCAATCCTCTGCAGTGAATATGCACGCAGAAGCATGCAATAAATAAAAAAGTGTGAGCAGTTCTATCTGTAACCTGCAGTACGATACACAGAAACAGAAGCAACGCACCGTACAGCTGGTTTTCAGCCTGTCACAGCACCTACCGTGTACACCTCAACACTGCTCAGCAGATCAGGACCACATTTGGATCACAGCATCAAAGTTCTCCCTCAACGTTCTGGCACATAAAAATGGCTGAGGACCAGTTAACTTACTGGAATGCAAGGTCAGCCGAGAGTAAACCAAAGTAAGCCAAATACAAAGATGATTCTTCTAATACTCTAGCCACATATTTCCAAAGATTGTGTCTATTGCCACTTTTCTTCTAGTTATGTCATCAAAGTTCTTCTTCACAGCTGCTAAACACCAATAAAAAATTCAGCTTAATGTTATAAAATGTGTTTGAACAGTTTAGAATAAACATATGAGACATTTAAATTATTTTCGTGTAACAACTTCCAGAGAAAAGTCTGAAAACTTAAAGAGATATTTGATAGACACAAACTTTTTATACTGCTGGAAAATGACATAATCAGTGCACCTAAAGGGAAAATAGAGAAGCTATTAAAATGGCATGATGAATAGCCTCTATCATGGTTGTAGCTAACAGGAAAATCTGCCTTCTGTTGATCAATTTGCTTAATAGATGCACTGACTTATATATTTTAAATGTCAATTAAAACCAAGAACCCAAATGATGCATTGGTCTTCATAATGGCCTTTTAATGAGGTAAGATATATACTCGCCTTTGATTTGTCAGCTGCTCACACTGCCATTTGTGCAAATTCTCCAGCACTTCTAACGGCTTAAGAAAATGCTTAGCAGCAATAAAAAGAGGCTTCTTAATAAAAATTATGTAAATTTAATAATGGCAAGTCCCAGAATAACACATATGTAATATATAAAATCAAGGAATCTAAGCTGTTAACGGTATTTATTGTGCATTTGCCAAAAGCTGTCATTACATACTGTATAAGCTCAGGTGCCCGTGCAGTGCTTTATCATTTTGTGCCACGCGTCCACTTTCGCTAACAGCCTAACCACATAGGATGGCAGAGTGAAGGAGAGGGGGCTAATTTGAACCCACCTCCACTCTTTTGGTAGACCTTTTTGTGCAATCTGACATAAATTGTATAGGAAGGTGGGCATGTTTTTCAGTGGTAAAAAATCACTGCTATTTCTAGTGAGGAGCTCTTTGGTGTGTTGGCGAGGAGTTATGACTAAGCCATTATTTGTTTCCTGAGGAGCAGCAGGTTGCCCAATGTGTGAGATGAGAAAATGAGTGTGCTTCGAGCCGGTGTCCTGCCTGCTGGCACTGCTATGTAATTTCACCTCTCCTTTCCCCTGTTCGTGCACATACATATGTACACACCAGAAGATGCAAGTGTGAAAGCACACTACCTATGCAAAATGACATACAAGTACCTAGATATAGTACATAATGGACACACACCAAAGACAAGTAGATGTTTCAGTGAATGTAGAGCTATATAATCAAGTTGGACAAAAAGGTATTCACCAATGACAACTGTGAGATACACCGCATGGTGCACAATTATTTGCTGTGAGATACACACAGAAACAAACTCCTGTTATTATTTTCT